ATCTGATGCCATGTCCAATTCTGCCAGTCTTCAGAAAAATCTCATTTCTACAGTGAGCAGAAATTGCTCAGTTACATTTTTGTTGGTTACGTAAAATTTGTTTTAAAGCAAAACAGATACACAAAACCATAATGAAATATGATTAGTTGCAGCTGCTTAAAGTATTATAAAAGAGAGAAATGTTAGAGGCATCTAGTGGCTGAAAAGATTTGAAAATATGTAACGCACTCAAGACCCTAGTTCAGGCACAAATAAATGGAGATTAAGCGGGTGTGTTTAGGCTCTTTTGAAAAATGGGAAGAAACTGAATATTCAGTTGATTCCTTAGATCCCCAGGTCATAGTAAATTCCTGTTATTTACACTGTAGCACATTGGCTCTCTGCATCCTATAAACTTCGTGAATACTGATGGCTGTCGGCATTTTAGAAGTGATTCTTTCACTTTGTTTACAGTTTTGCTGCTGCTGGCAAACATTGGACTATCAAAGGCTTTAATGCTGTGCATGTGCATTTCATAATAGAATGTTATTATATGAGGATAATAACACTTACTAGAGATCAGTAATAAAATGAAAAACAGAGCCTCTCCACCATCACTTGTTAACACTTCTAATGATTGTTTGCCTATTAACACTAATTGGTTATATGCTTCCATTTTAGCCCTGTACTGGCTGGCGTAAGCACGAGGCACTTGTGTATACATAGTACTTATGAATAGCTGTGCTGGCCTACTGATCTCTGCAATAAAAGTTACTGTAGCATGATCTGGTCTGCTTTTTTGTGAAATGTTTTATATCAGAACCAGTAGCTGACCTCTGTCTTATCAATTCACTCCATCTATTTGCCTTTAAACAGAAGTCACGGTACTCTCTAGAATATTTGCCTGGTTCGCTGGTGTCCATTTAACCTTAACACTCTCTGGTCATCCCACAGTACAGTATTTTTTGAAGCTTAGCTTAAAGCTAGAATTCATTCTCAAGCTTTCATTTTGCTTAAAACAGTTGACTGGGGGCACTCAAAAACCAGAATTGATTTGCCTTTTTGGTAGTCTTCGAGTTTTTAAGATGGAAAATTTCATGGTTCTATCCAGTTACCGAGTTCTGGAAACCCCATTCACTAGGCGAACAATTTTGGCAGGGTGTGGAAGGGGAATCTGAAGTATGGCAACAAAAGATACCTTTGGAAGGGTTTCCAGTTTCTGGGCCCAAGTCCCACCCCAGATACATGTGCTTACATGCTAAATTTCCAGAACATGATTGCCATCCAAAAACTCAATTGGCTTTGAATGTATATTGATTTCTCTTTCCTTATTTAAATCCAAAAGGTTTGTGTCAGCAGTATATGAGGCTGAAAACCTGGTGATAATTCAGTATAAAAATAAAGTGGTTTAAATATTAACAGTACCAAGAGATCCCTGATATGTTTCTAGCTAGCTGAATGGGAAAGCATTCGCAGCAGAGTAGTTGACTTTTACTCTTGGTTGGACCAGGCAATATATTCAGTTGTATTCATACAGCACTCATTTTGGCTATGCCTGTTCCACCTATACTATCAAACCTTGATCGTTGAGCTGAACAAAAACTACACTTCACTACAGTTTTTGGCATCAGCAGCTGTCTTCACAGACCTTAGGCTGCCATCACCAGCCTTTCGAGGAGTGTCAAGAGGTATCAGAGAGTTGCGGTCGCTTCTCCGCTTCCATATTGAGAGGAGAAGCTTGGCAAATCAGAACAAAAGAGGGGCCCTGTTGTGGGGAGAGCCATGAATAATCGTGTGTACCAACACCACTACCCTCCCAGGGCACGCTGCTGCCTCGTGAAGGGAGGTGGTGCGTGCAACACCGATAAAGCACGGTGGTGGTGCCAGGGGTGCCACTGCTGTGCTGTGGTGTGTTGTGTTGTAGCCATGGCACCTGGTGATAGATGAACGTCTGCGGGCCGTTGCTATGTTGAGGTATGATTAGGTATTTATTGCTAACAGCCACACTAGTCCAATCTAAAAGATGACTGAGGCCTCTGCAGATCTGTTGAGAAAACTTAGTAGCAAGTTGTGGCGTCCGCATATAGGTCAGCGTTTACAGACATGAATGCTCACCAGTGGTCAGCCTGGTTAGTCCAGCTCCTGTGGAGAGGTTAGTAACTCCACACACTGGGAGGTTGCCAGCCTCTGTCCACGAGGATGAGATAATCGATTTTCTCAGCTGAGTAAGAAGAGGAAAATATCTTCTCTCCATCTGTCATTCTAGAGCAATTGCTTACAGTATTATGTGATTTGTTCTTTCCTGCCTGCCAGAAATATTCAGAGGTATACAGTGAACGTAAGCTTGGGGAATAGGCTTGTTTCTTCTTAAGATATCTTTTGCAGCTCTTCAAAGCAGACCTCAAAGGCTGATGATTGAAAACCATTACTCTTGAGAGTAGAATGGCTAAATCCAATCAAAGAATTTATCCCACAGGTATTTGTGTACCTCCCTCAAATTCATGGAAATGTCAATAGCGCTGAGTAATTAACTAGAAACTTTTCATTTTTTCTAATTAGTGAAATTACAGTGCAACAGAGTTCTGTTGTTGTAACCCTTATCCATCTTCCCTGCAATGTTGCTTCTACTTGTGCTAATCTAAATGTAAATCAAAAGTCCTGGGGGACAGAGCCTGTCCTTTGCACTCTCTCCCTTCCTTTTGTGTGTTTTTAATTTAATTTAATTTTATGTTTGTGCACAATCCTCAGAGCAGAATGCCTATCACTTGCCTTGATGATTCCTAAATTCATGTACTCAGTCGAGCCCACTTGTGGCCTCTCTGATTCATGGCTGAAAAGAGTATCTGTAATAAGCCAGCAGCACAGAACGTATTTTAAGATCTAACAGCATGTCCCACTGGAGCCTCCTCATTTCCCCCATGACCAGGAAAAACGAATTGCCTGTGTGAGATGCCTGATCAACAAACTAGAATTGCTTAGGAAAAGAAAAAGAAATGCATGGGAAGAAGGAGTTACAAAAAGCCAGAGAACACCCTGCAGTTTCTTCTCCCCCTTTTACAAATGGAGATTCTGCTCCTGCACAGCTGTGGTGGTGGAGCCTGGGCTGAGAGAAGGCTTTGGGATATGTAGGCCCCCAGCCATAGAGGGGTGTACGGGTCAAAGTCAATACCTGTATGTTAGTCCATGTAAATAAATCATATGCCTGTAAAATGCATGCTGTAGTTTGCTGGTGGGTCCTAAGGGAGAGGGAAAATAATTTAGCACAGCTGGATGCGTGTTCGTCTTCCAAACTGTTTTTATGGTTTAAAAGAATGGCTTCCTAAATCGCCGTCTGATGGAGAAGTGGGGTGTGGGGCTGCACCAGAGCGCAAATATACTGGTGTCACTTTAATTAAAAAATCTGCTCTCTCACCTTCCAAAACATCCCTGTTCCCTCTAAGGAAGGAATTTTTACCTAATCTGAGTGAGCAGCTGTTGTCTGCCAAATGGCCAGTCTGTGCTGCCGGCGGAGTTGGCTGTGGTGAGCGTTCCCCCTCTCCCGTGCTGCAAACAGCCCTGTGTGAAACCGCTTCCCTCAACTTGAACTCCAGTGAGCAGTCCCTGCAACACGTGGAGACTGAACTAGTCTTTGCAGCAATAAATGCTCATTTTCAAGGCTCCCAAAGACTCTGTAAGCACCCAACAAAAGCAACCAAAGCTGAGGATCCGTTGGAGATGCTGGGATGCCAAGAAATGCTGTGTTAGTGCTAACCTCTGTGCTTAATGAACCAAGTAATTCCTTCACCACTACCCTTGTCAGTGAAAAAAACCAGGCTTTTCTGAGCCAGGGGGAAGCTGTATGAATTATTTGAGGGACTTTGAAGACTGCAAGTGTGGAATCAGTGCTAATTACAGAGGTGCTTCATCCTAAGGCTTCATTGCTTTGGTGCCTGCAATCCATGTAAGGGAGCAACCTGCGTAGGCTGGGTGCTGCAGCCCATGTCCTTAGAAACTAAAGTGAATGGTCTGTAAATATCTGTGCATTCAGCTCAGCTGTTTGAGGAAAAGTGGGAAACCAGTTCTGGTGTTTGATCTGCACGGCTAGCAGGCAAAAGATGCAGGAATGCCAGCCGGGCCGAACAAAATGTTGTGTGAGCAGTAGTGGTGCCAAAGTTCTGGGTTCTCCTCGACTTCTGGTCTAGAAAATGCTCTGGTAGATTCTGGCAGTGGGGAGTTGAAAGGAAACGGTGTGGCCCAGGGTACATGGAGAACGTGGGCCCTTGTCAGATATATGTCCCCTTTTAAAAATGCAAATTGATAAATAAACACTTAAACAATAGGGCTCTGCTAATCCTTTTACAAAGGGTAAATTGCTAATCTAACTCCCCAGCCAGGATGGCTGCTTCACCTTAACAATAGCTGCATTTATACCTTATGTTTTACTTGTAAACTGACATGTAGTGAATTGGAAAGGGTTTCGGCTCACCTGCTTGGTGGGGGAGGGCGGCTAATCCCTTCATGCCCTTCACACTCGGTGAGCAGTGCTGCCATTTGATCACGCTGAAGCAAAAAGGCCAGCCAAATTTTCAGCCAGTTTAGACTCGGTTGTGCTTGTGCTTTAACAATGCTGCCAGTGTCTCCAGGAAGGGCAGAGAGAAAGGTCTATTCATGGCGCAGCGAGTACCCGAGGGCCCGATCTTCAGAGGCACTGGGCACCCCCAGGAGAGGATGCTGAGCACCCTGACGTTCAGCAACCCCGGTTTTCCTGGCATTGCAATGCGAGTTGAGTCCTTACTGATGAATCTTGGCAGCAGAGCACACGTGTGCCCATCTTCGACGGCCTGCTCCTGGGTGACGAGGCCATCATGGAAAAACAGCAGGAGTGAAGAAGGGGCTTAGCTCCCTGGTCCATCGCATTGCCATGTTAGGAGACTGGGACCCTGAAACACAGGCTGTGTGGTGGGTTGCCAGAGAGGTGGGTTGGTGCCAGTGAGTTGATTGATCAGTTGTGTGAGTCTTTGCCTTGACTGGCATTTATGCAGGTGTTCCTAGTTTAACAGAATTGCTTGTAACATTGGGTAAGTCCTGACTTGGAGTTTTGTCCTCAGCTGCTGCAGCTTCTTGTTCTTTCCTACCTGTTTTTTCCCCCCCTCTTTCTTTTATATTGGTCTCCAGCATTAGATCTGATCCAAAGAGATGGAAATAAGATTTTTCTTGCTGTATTTGGTCAGTAAGGTGTCTGCAAACCCATAAGCCTGTTTGGGAATTAAGGAAACATGGACAATTCATAGCTGCAGAGTCACAAATTTAGGGCAATTGGATGCAGAAGGATGATTGAACGAAATATTTTGGTAGATCAGACCTATGGGGTGCTCTCCTCCATGTAGCCAGCTTTTTATGATAGAAGAGGAAAATCAGGATGTGTTCTTTTTTTTCATCCCTGAAGGAAATATATTTGTAATCTCCCAATGTCATGTGAGATTAACGTCAACTTCTGTGTTTTTCAAGAGAAATTGTATCAGGCATCTGGCAAAGCAATTCATATCGCTTGTATTTAAGGCATTCTTTGGAGAGGGAGGCAAAAGCATTCATGAACCAAATGTGCAAGAAAGGGTGTCAGAGACTTGGAGGATCTTGGCTAGACATTACTGGTCTGAGGTCTTCTCCTCAGTACCAGGAGAGGAGTGTTAATACAGCATCAGCTCAAAGCAGAGTCTAACCAAGTAAAGGATGCTGTAGGTTTTATATCTGTTAGCCCATTAAATTAAAGACTGTAGGAAATGGGTTGTTAGAACTTTAAACCTACTGACTCATAAAGACTTGCAAGTTTGATTACTTTTAACAGTTTTTACTCAGATAGCTCAAATTAAGAGTGCCTGTTCCTTTTGCTTTAGTTAATAAAGACAGAGCTAGTGCATGTAACACCAATAGAAGATTTATAGAAAGACATTTTCCATTTACATCTCACAAAGCTAAAAAAGCCTCACATTAAATCATTGGTCATGATTTTTATTTGAACTTTGACTCAAATTATTGAATTTGGGAATTCAGTGTATTGTTAATGGGCAAGAAATCTAAGTACTTTTAATTAAGAAGGCAGTATTAGGGGATTTTAATGCCTACCCCCTTGTCAATCCAGCCTCAAGTACTAAAAAATATTCACTACAGACTTTGAAGGAAAGAATTATTAAATACATGCAGGCAAGTGACCAAAAGAACAAAAAAAAGAACAAAAAGTACTCATGACAGACTAGCAGGGTTGTTTCCTTTTTGTGATGGATCTTTATTTATAGATAGGAAATACACATATTTTCATCTTTCACAACTTTATTAAAATTTTGTAACATTTTTATTTCTGTTATAAACTTTGGATTCTGCTAAAATTATTATTTGACATGGATAAGGAACTGGCTACTAAGGCAACAGCAGTGACTTACCTAGGAGGAAGAAATAAGAGATTTTAGGGAGTTTTCATGGCAGAGTTTCATAAAATTACAGCTGGCAACTAAGTTGCACTAATATTTTCACCAAGTGTCAATGTAGGAGTATACTGATGATCTAGAGTTGGGAAGCATTTTCCATAGAATGGAATTTGGATCTTCACAAGGAGAATGAAATAATCACAGTAGCAAAAGTGCTGTGAAATGTAGTACTGCAGAAGATAAGATCTCACAGTATTTAGGGAGAAATAATAAGCATTTTGGCAGTGAACTGAAGAGTTCAGAGGAGGTGAAAGCCGGGGTGCTGCAGTGAGTCACAGGAAGTTTTAGTTGGATGGGGTGTCAGTACAACCCTCTCCAGGGAAGAGGGGAGCATTGTAGCCCTACGGCTGAGCCAGGTGCTGGGGAGCGAGGACTCACACGAAATGCTGCATGTGGCTCTCTGCAGCTGCCTTTGTAGGGAGAACTGGAAACAAGAAACAGTCCACGCTGCAAGTAAGTGCAGCATATGGCTAGCAGAACAACCAGGAGGCTGGAAAAACTGTCTTGTGAGAAGCTAAACCAGCTTCACTCACAAGGTACAGAAGGGGAAAGGTGCAACAAGAGGAGCTGGAACTGAAGAACACCGAGTGTAAGAAAACATTAGTATAAGTAAATATAAGGAGCGTACATGAGCATAAAACAGTAGAGAAAGCCATGAAGTGTAGATTTACAAGTATAGGCTGCAGATTTAAGAGGAAATTCCCATCATTTGAGCAGTGAGGTTCTGGATGAGCCTTCCAGGATGAGTAGCTTGGACAGCCTGACAAATGTTCAAAGTATTTAGTACATGCATTATCAGTTTAGTGAAGACGGGCGATCAAGCTGGCAGCAGGCAGGGCAATATTCATTACAATGGCCTAGTTTGAGGGAACCTTAGGAGAGAAGAGCAGGAGCAGTCCTGAGCCAAACTGTGCTGGAAAGACAGAAAAGATGTGGAGGCTTTAGGTCAGATAACTCTTCTCTGATGTCTTGTCTTCTCTGCCAATAGAGTGGTATTAAGCAGCTCAGAACAAATGTATTCAAGTCTATTAGATGGTAAGTGTTTAACCTGGTGGTAGAGAAGAGACTTGTGAGAAGTGATGAAGGAAGACCACAGAGTTTGTTTCTATATTATTTCTGTATTATTTTACATGTGCACACACACACATATATACGTAGTTTTCATGAAAAGCCTTGATATGTCTGGACTAGGAAGGTATTCCTGCTTAATAATGCTGCCTTTAATGTCTTGTAGCCATTCTTTCTTGTGGTAGGCAGGGGCAGGAATGAGGTCTTTAGCTGATGAGAGCAACAGCCCCTGTGCAGTCTGCTGGGAGGTGTAAATGTCTGTGTGGAGTAAGGTGACCAAGCAAGGGTTGAGCCTGTACTTCCAGCTCTGAGACTCACAATCTGCCCAGCTAAGTCCCCTTTTGGACTGGAAGCACAACTATGTTGAAACCTGCTATGAGACCCTCAAGACTCCTGCTAATAAAGCAACTGAACAAAGGTCAAACCCCCCTCCCCCCCAACAACAAGAAACTAAAACCTGTGGGAACAATCATAGAAGTAGAGGAAGGAAGAATGTTTCCTGGAAAATAAAGAACCTCATTGACCTTTAAATCTAGCCCAGACACCCAGAGTCAGCCCAGCTATGTTAGAAAAGCTTAATCCAGCAAAAACAGGGAAGGAGAAAAAAAAAAAAAAAAGAAGTTAAAATGCTGGAAGAGTAAGTGATAACTAGTTGCCCTTGTGTCATAGTCCTTCACCATCCTTAGTGTTCTGCACACCACAGAGGGATGTTTCATGCATCCCTGTACCCGGGTAGCTTTGCTTCTAGATAGGAAAAGAGAGGGGAAATGTGTCCAGGTAGCTCAAGCGTGTTATTCTGGATCATCCAGAAGGGGAGGAATGTCACTCTGGGCATGTAGCTGAAACTGGCATACAAAATGTTGCACAGGAGAACCCCCACTCTGCAATCCTAAGCACACACTGCGCAAAAGTTAAAAGCAATCACAAGAGAATTTTAATGCCATATTAAATGTTGATTCATGTATGGCTGGAGCCACAGTGACCTGAAGGGCTGGTGTTTGATCCAGCTCCGAAGTGATAAACTGATCTGTAACTTATGCCGGTTTCCGTGTGTGGTAAAAGTCATCTGATAGGGACCCGCAGTGAAGGGTGTGACTGGGAGCCAGCGCCAGGAGCTGTGTCCTCTCGGAGTGGGTGTGCACCTGGCAGCCTGAGTCACTAATTGCCTTTGGGAATAGCCCTCTGCACAGGAATGTTATCATCACCTACCCTGACGAAGCAGACCCCAGTAGCACCGATGGTCCTTAACTGCCTGGAGTTAGGGGGATTGTGTTCAGTTTCTTCTGCTTGAGAAAGGAGCAGCTGAAGGGCTTTAGCAAAGAATTGCTCCCAGTCTGGTCCACACCAATGGTAAACAGCTTTTGCCTCTGATCACAAATGCCATCAAAAAAGACTACCTTATTGCCTTTTTTTACTGTTGTCGTTTGGTTTTGATCACTCAAAAAATAAGGACCATTTCTTAGGAAATAGATGGAATTTTAAATATATATCAGATGTTTAGGCCAGATGCTTATTGAGTCAGTGAATCATTCGCAATTGAGAAATATTTGCTCTTTCCACATGTTACGGACATCAGGAGTGCTTTTGTTATGGAGCATATGGAGGAACAAGTCCCTCTCTGAGCAATGGAGTGAACTGAATCAGATTTTCATCAGCTTTTGCTGGAGGGGATTCTTCAAGCTTCGGCTGTTCCAGGAGTGAACCATGCTGGTCTCTCCAGATCACTCTCTCTCTCTCTCTCTCTCTCTCTCTCTCTCTCTCTCTCTCTCTCTCTCTCTTCCCTTCTCTCCCCTTGTTCTTCCCTCTACGCAGTTGTATATTTTTCTCAAGCTTTGTTGAACTTATTCACTTTGAGTTCAGTTTGTCAGATCTGGCGTGCCCGAGGTTCAGTTTCATAGGACGCTGAACTAAATACAAAACGGTCTACATCTTGCAGCCAATTTCTGATCATTTACATAAATAAAGGGGATTGTCTTGAAGTGTGTGAACACTGATGAGAATTGGGACATCTGTGCCATCTCCTCACCAGGAACATTTCTCGTGAGTATCCAATAATCACTGTCTGCCTTGTTTTCCCATAACTCTCAATCAAGGACAACATCTACAGAAACAGTGAGTTATATTACAAAATATCTTCTTCAGGTAGACAGTTGTACTTCATGATTATATTATTATTGTCCTAGCCAGGGCTGCAGAAAAAAAACAGCAGTTTTGGAAATACTTAGATAGCAGTCCTTGTTGCAAATTAGTGTTGGATATTGAGACAGTGAAAAGTCTTAAAATAAGCCATGTGTGGAGTAATGGGTTGTCCACATAGGTTTGAAATGCTGTCATTCCCCTGAGGTGCAAATATGCTTATGTGCTGCATCCTAGATGGAATATAATTATACTTTTTTATTTCTGATTTATTTGTTGATTGGTATTGTGTATATGTGTATATATATATAGTTGTATATTGATGGGCTTTGGGAGTAATTAGGTTCACTGTTCTATTGTGTCACCTATTTAATTGAAATTAACTGTAAAGTTTTGGCCAAAAATATGAGTTTGGATTATCAAGAATCCAACAGCCTTTAGGACTGTGGCAGGGAAGAGTGTGACAAGGGTTGCATTTATCTAACTTGCTTATTTAGTTCAGTGCATAGTTCCTTGATGCTATTTGGGCAGTAGGTCATATCAGCATTTCTTCAGAGCTATCTGCCCAACAGGAAATCATAAAAGCATTAGACATGTGCCAGCTGAAAATCCCCTTGCTGAAATGCCGTGGATTTTGCTATGTTTCTGCAGTAGGTGCTTTTCTCTGAGCTCATGCATTAAGAAACCTCCCAGACTGGAGCTAGACCAGAAAGGAGAAGCTAGACAATGTGGCAAAGTTGACGTTTTGAAACTATTTCCACTTATTTAAACAAATCTATTACCTGTTTGAATACCTGGAAGTACTCCAGCACTTCAACAGTTTATAATTTTCTCTTGTCTAAATTCTCTTGGTTTATTTTCCCAGGCCTAGTAGCTGCTGTCTTGAAATGTTCTCACTAAGAAGGGAGAGGGGTCCCTGTTTTCACACTGTCTTCATCCCTGCAAGTGCAGGACTTGGTATTACAGTACTGCTGCATTTCACCTCCATCCTAAAAGTCTAGCAATGCTGGATAGTAATGAAATCTCGAGGCTGGTGGTGAGCAGTGGTAAGGGTCCTTATCTTGAGGAAAGGCTTTAAAATCTGATTACAGTGGGTGGTTCTCAGCATAAGGGACGACAAGAGCTGAGCTGCCTTCCTGGGACAGGGGAATAAGGAGCTGTTCGAGGAGTCTCTGGAGTTTTAGAATGGATAAAACCCAAGGCTTTCTTAAGCAGTGGCTGGGCACGCTATGGCTTTGGTCACAGGGGGAAATCACTGAGGTGAGTCATGTTTAAGAGGATCTAAAAGCAGCTTCATATATACACACAAGTGCTCTGTGGCATAAGCAGCAGTATTCATCTAATACATTAAAAAAAAGAAACCAAAACCCACTGCAAGGGTTGACAGTTCCCCTTCCTTTGGGCTAGAAACCAATTTCTTATTGTACTTTTAATTCTTCTCTCAGTAAAAAAAGTGGCCAGGTGCAATGTCAGAAAGTAGTCCCTGTCAAGCAAAGGCATTGGCCAGTTTCCATGGGACTTTATTAAATAATAGAGTACCACGGCAAAATATGACAGAAGTCCAGCATTACTGACCGCAAATAAATAAAACACCAGGCTTTGACCACAGGGAGAAACTGGAGTCATTTTGCACACAAATCTCTGGCCCTTGAAGAGGCCGGGGGAAGGGAAATGCAGTGCCTTTCCTAACGTTAACCAGACCTGCCTCCTAGTCAGCGCTGAGCTTGCCATTTTCTACGTTTGTAGCTGTTTTCCTGAAAGTGGGAAGTGGGAATTCCAGCTGCAGGGATCTAATCTGCGATGGAGCACAGCAGGAAACGCTTTTCTTCCAGCCTTCAGTATTTGGGTTTTGCTCTCTTTTCCCTTTTGCTCAGTTGCTGCCTGTATTTCCCATACCTTTAGAGTAAAGCTGAGCAACAAAATCCCATGCCCTGTCTTTTCCAATCTTTCTAGATTAATTAAATTACTTTTGACATGCTTTCCTCCTCAAGTCACTTTAGTAATGATGTTTCTCATATCTCCTACCAGCTGGAAATGGCTTTGTCATTTTTTTGTTTTCTTGGGGTTTGAGGGTTTTTTGTTTGGGAAGAAGGAATCAAGTGTGTGTGGGGGCAGATGTTTCCAAAGAAACCAGTGGTTTGGATGAGCTCTTTGCTAATATATCAAGACAGGTATTTTGCAAAAGATTATTCAGCTGCTCACATGGGGGGGCAGAGGTGCTTCAATGAACTCTGGTGAAATTAAAAACCTAAATCACCTCCTGCTTTTGAATGAAGACTGTAGGAGAATGGAGTGATTATACTGTTGGAAGTCCTGATTCCCACTCTGCCTTCCACCTCCACGTCAAACTGCTTTCTGGTGGGTTTTTCACCTACATATATTCTATAATTTGTGTTCTTGAGTTTACACCTTGCAGTGGCAGAAAAAGTCTCATATGTGCCTTAGGAACACTTTTCTATTGCATTTTAGCTTGTCATTCCTCATCTTAGCATGTTCTTTCATCTGATTTTTGTGAATAAAAAGACACATTCACGCAGAGGAGCATCTTCCACTTTGAACACAGCTCCATTTGGGAGATATTGGCAGATCAATACAGCTATTTTCTTTCCCTTTCTGTTGATTATATGATAGTATAAACCCAATCTCATTCATGCTTCTGATGTGCTTGTCTGTCCCACTTTTCTTGTCCCTGCTTTGACAGTCCTTGAAGGTCACCATTTGTCACTGCAAATGTAGCCTCCATGGATCCCTGTTTCTTGATGCCCATCTGCATTCTTACTCTTTATTTAAGATAAAATGTCCATAACACATAAAGAATTTGAGCATTTCTGGCAAATACAGTCTTTATCACATGCCCTTACCCACATCAGAGGCTGAGGGAAGTCTCTTGGTGCATGAGGCGTGTGGAAGGAGTTAACTGATTGCAAAATAGATGGAGACCTTACAGCATAACCAGAAAACAGTTCCTGACAATATCAGAGTTTGCTTTTCCTGCTAAAGACTCTATTCCCTTTCCCTTCTAAGCCACTCGGCTATGGCTCTTGAACTTCTCTTCCTGACCAGTCATTGTAGAACTCGTAAAGGTTTGTAGAGGCCACACTGGAGAAGAAATCCTGTTCTGCTTGAAAACCACTTTTATTTGCATTTTCTTCTGAATGGTATGTAGAAAATTAGTCAGTCATGTGTGAGGAGAAAAGCTAACATCCCTTGTAACTAAGCAGTTGAATGGTCTATATACCTGGGCAAACAGGTTGTAGAAACTTCAATCAACCACCTTTGACTGTATAGTATCTTCAAGTTTTCAACTTTCATGGCCACTTGTTGGTGTTTGCAGAGCATTCCTATGGCATATGGTAACCTTTAGTCCAGCACAGGCCTTCAGGAACAAGTGCAAAATCTCTGTCAATCCCCTGTGGGGCATATGGTTAATATTACACTATGGCTCAGCTCTTGTTTGTTTGTTTGCTTTTGCTGTGACTACATCTGAGTTCATCAGCTCCTGTTCACTATCAGCTCTAGGGCTGCCTGAAAGACTATCCTGATGCTAAAATACAAAGCATCTCACTTGCAAGACAGTCACTCATAGGGTCCTCGTTATTTTGGAGACTGCACAAACATTTTAAAAGAAGTATTTCCTGCCTTCCTGCCCTTCGATGTGCTCACCATCAGAAGAAAGGTAACAGCAAAGGAGGCAGGACGTAGAGGCACAAAGTAATCCTGCAGTGACTCAGGCGAGATGACACAAATGACAACTGATGGGGCTAGGACTAGAACCCAGAAATCCTTGGCTGTATTGCCTCTCTTGCCCACTATGTTCCCAGGGTGGATTGTTGTTTTAAATATGTTTATGAAACATCTGCATGTATAAAAGAAAAAAATCATA